TGCTATTGGTGGAGAGTTGACCCTGCATACTGATAAGGATAGATGTCATAAAATTTTAGGAGAGGCTTAAGTTCAAAAGGTGGCATGTGTTCCTCTTTTGACTAGCACCAATAACTAGATGAATTGATGAAATAACAGAAGATATTGCAACACAATTGTTAGAGAGGATTAATGAGTCACCATGGTATGCAATCCAGGTTGATGGGTCTACCGATGTCGACAGCAAGGCAACAATGCTTGTTTCTGTGTGACATATTTTTCAGGAGCATGTGCATGAAGATATGTTATGCGCACTTTTGTTGCCAACGAACATCACAGTTGCAGACTACTCAAGTCTTTGAATGATGACATATCAGGAAAACTAAATTGGTCATTTTGTGTCAGTATATGAACAGATGCAGTGGTTGCCATGGCTGGATGGCTGTCTGATTTCATTACTTGGGTCAAAGAGGTCACCTCTGAATGTGAGTCTACACAGTGTCATCTATAGAGAAATGTTGGCTATCCAAAAAATGTCACCTGAACTTAACAATGTTTTGCAGGATGTGATTAAAATTATCAGCCACGTTAAAGTGCATGCCCTTAACTCACGTCTGTTCGCATAGCTCTGTGAAGACATGGATGCAGAGCAAACACGTCTTCTCTTACACACAGAAGTGAGATGACTTTCTAAAGGTGTATCGCTGGCCAGAGCTTCTGAGTTATGAGAGCAACTCCAGGGATTTCTTTTAGAAAATGTCGCCACTGGAAGCACATTTCAGTGACACAGAATGAGTCTCAAAACTTGCTTACTTGTGTGACCTATACAACCTGCTCAACAAACTCCATTTGTCACTTCAGTGGAGAATGACAACTGCGTTCAAGTTGGCAGATAAAGTGGCCGCGTTCAAAACTAAACTGCTGTAATCCCAGCACTTTGGGAGGCCAAGGCAGGCAGATCACTTGAGGTCAGGAGTTCAAGACCAGCCTGGCCAACATGGTGAAATACTGTCTTACTAAAAATACAAAAATCAGCCGGGTGTGGTGGCAGGCACCTGTAATCCCAGCTACTTGGGAGGCTGAGGCAGGAGAATCGCTTGAACCCGGGAGGCGGAGGCTGCAGTGAGCTGAGATCGCGCCACCACACTCCAGCCTGGGTGACAGAGTGAAAACAAAACAAAACAAAACAAAACAAAACAAAGCCAAACTGGAATATTGGAGGCAACAAGTGAATCCTGGGATCTTTGACATGTTTCAAACATTGGCGGAGATTTTGAAGGAGGGTGAGCCAGGGCCTTCTTTCTCCCAGTTGGTGTATGATCACCTATCTCAGCGTTCAAAAGAGTCTGAGCATTATTTCCCAATCACAAAAGACCCCTGGACTTGGAAGGAATGGATCTGCAACCCATCTGTGAATATGCCAGGTGAATCGACTTTGTCAGTGCCAGAAGAGGATCAACTGCTTGAGATCACAAATGATGGTGGCTTTAAAAGTACGTTGAGACAATTTCAAATCTCCATCCGTTCTGGATTAAAGTCGAGGCAGAATAACCTGAGGTTGCCACAAAAAGACTGAAAAGCCTGCTTCCGTTTCCAACATCCTATCTTTGTGACGCAGAGTTTTCTACGGTGACAGCAACCAAAATGAGATTACCGAGTAGACTGGACTTAAGCAACACCTTTTGGGTGTCACTGTCTCGTATCACCCCTAGATGGGACTGTCTAGTTGCAGGAAAACAAGCTCAGGGCTCCCAATCATTTTACATTGTGGTGAGTTGCATAATGATTTCATTATATATCACAGTGTAATAATAACAGACATCAGTGCACCATAAATGTAATGTACTTGAATCATCCTGAAACCATCCCCTATCGCCCACCCAGTGTGTGGAAAAACTGTCCTCCATGAAACTGGTCCCTGGTGCCAATAAGGTTGGGGGCTGCTGTGATAAAGAACTAGTATGTAGAAGAAAGAACTCTCCATACTGAACATTAAAAAAGACATCTATCCAATGAGAACATGGACAAAAGACAAAGAGACGTTTCACTGTAGAAGATAGAGAGATGGCAAACAACCACACAAAGAGAATTTCAATTTCATTAGTCATTAAGGAAATACACATTAAAACTACCATGATAAAGTACCGTACACATTTCAGAATGGCAAAATTAAAAAACAGTGGCAACAGCAAATGCTGGCAAGGATGTGGAGAAACTAGGTCACTCATACATTCTTGGTGGGAATGCAAAATGGTACAGATACTTGGGAAAACAGGTTGGCACTTGGCTAAAAAATTAATCCCGCAACTAACACAAGAACCCAAAATTGTGCTCCTGGGGATTTACAGAGAAATGAAAACTTATGCTCATACAAAAACCTAAACATTTCATTTGTAATATCCAAAAACTGGAAATAACTCAGACATTCTTCCGTGGGTAAAGGGTTAAACGAACTGTGTTACACCAACAGGATGAACATTCTTCTGTAATAAAAAGGAATGAACTATTGATACATTCAACAACCTGGATGAATCTCTAGAGAATTATGCTGAGTGAAAAAAGCCAATCCCAAAAGGTTACATATTGTATTATTCCATTTATATAATATTCATGAAATGACAAAATTATAGAAATGGAAGACAGATTAATGATTGCCAGGAATTAAGGAGGGCTTGGGGATAGGAGACAAGTAGACAGGGCTACAAAAGGGCATCACAATGGTTCCTGTGATGGAAATGCTCTGCATCACCCTAAATCAATGTCAAATATCTAATACAGTATTGCAATATATATAATTTTTCAAGATATTACCATTGGGCAAAACCAGGTAAAGGGTACACAGGATCTCTCTATACTATTTCTTATGATTGCATGTAAATCTACCATTATATCCCAAAATCAAAAGTTTAATCTAGAAGAAAACTATCTGAGTACCTCCTATATACAGATTACAGCTAAAAAGAATACAAAAATAAATAGGATGGTTGAGACTGTTGCTTTGAGGAGATAAAGATGCAGATGTAAATAATTAAATTCCAAAGCAAAATAAAAGAAAAAAGATTAATGTCAGGGTAACTTAAAAGTACTTTGGGAACAGGAAGTAAGCTACAAAACTTGGAGTAAACATCTTTAAATTTTTTTAAATTAATATAAATCATTATCAAGATTTATATATAGTTTTGCTAAGGGCAATGATTTCAAAACTTTAAGAAGATTACTAGAATATACCCTACTTGGTCAAAGTGTATTTTTAAATAAGTTTTCGTGTGACATGTTCTGATATTTCTACTTCATTTTGTGTCAGTTAGAGTAACAGCTAAGACTTTTCCAATTTAAAAACATCAGTAAAAAAGTTAAAGGACGTATTATTTGAAATTTTTCTTTCTTTTTTCTTTTTTTTTTTTTTTAGACGGAGTTTCGCTCTTGTTGCCCAGGCTGGAGTGTAATGGTGTGATTCTTGGCTCACGGCAACCTCCACCTCCTGGGTTCTAGCAATTCTCCTGCTTTAGCCGCCTCAGTAGCTGGTACTACAGGCATGCGCCACCACGCCCGGCTAATTTTTGCATTTTCAGTAGAGACAGGGTTTCTCCATGTTGGTCAGGCTGGTCTCAAACTCCTGACCTCAGGTGATCCATCTGCTTTGGCCTCCCAAAGTGCTGGGATTACAGGTGTTGAGTCACCATGCACAGCCTGTTTGAATTTTTATAGTGAGTACCTATTCTTGAGTTACTTTCATCATTAAAATGTTCTTATTTAAATAAAAGATAATTTGAAGAGTGAGAATTCCAGCATATACCACTTCATTAAAACATTAACAGTGGCTCTTACAGAAACAAACTAGATACATGATTCTCAAATACATTATCCAACTGCAGACTAACAAAATAAAAGGTTTGGCCGGGCGCGGTGGCTCATACCTGTAATCCTAGCACTTTGGGAGGCCGAGGTGGGAGGATCACGAGGTCAGGAGATCGAGACCTACCATCTTGGCCAAAATGGTGAAACCCCATCACTACTAAAACTACAAAAATTAGCTGGGCGTGGTGGCAGATGCCTGTAATCCCAGCTACTTGGGAGACTGAGGCAGGAGAATCACTTGAACCAGGGAGTTGGAGGTTGCAGTGAGCTGAGATCGTGCCACTGCACTCCAGCCTGGCGACAGAGTGAGGCTCCATCTCAAAAATTAAAAAATAAAAAATAAAAGTTCAATAGGGTTTGGCAATAACAGAAATTTAAACATGACCAAAATTTTGCAGTATTTCAAATACACTATGCATCTTCTATACATACTTTAAAATTCAGGCTCTATCTCCCCAGCCACTTCCTCCCGTGCAAGCTACACTAGCCATTACAAAGTACTTATTATTCACTCCATACCCTTGCCTGTGTTGTTTTCCCTTTTGAATGGGATGCCTCATTCCTTTAGAGCTCCTCAGTATCTCCTTGTGTACTCCTCCCTGATATTCCTGGGCTGAATAGAAATTTCCTCTATAAAGCTTTTAGTGTCTCTTATTAATATATCATTCATTACGAATTACTTGTATGTCAGTGGGAAGTCCCTGAGGACGGGAACCTGTATCTTTTGAAAATTATACTCCCAGTGGCAAGTACAATGTCAGGCACAAAGTAGATACAATCAACTGAGTTACAGTTAAAAGAACCTGGCCAATCAATAAATAAATTTAGCTTAAAAGAATATCGTTAAAGTTAAAATTTAGCTAAATAAACCTCAACCTCGTGGTTCTTTGCTGATCGCTATGCCAGTGTGTTTTATGATTCTGCCGGCTAAAGGTAAATGCAAATCACACGCTCAAAGGAAGAGTTTTTGTTACAGTCTTAAGCTGTTTGGAATACAGCTGTCATAAACTAACCTCTTGGATTTTAAAGATAAAAAAATAAAATCTAAGTTCAAAGACATGGCTGGATGTAATATTACATAAAAAAGAACTTATTTTTCCAAAATTATACTAACTTTACAGTAACAGCCATTTTAAAGAAGATTTTAAAAATATATTACGTACCATTTCTATTTCTTGATCTTTAGCAACCAGCTGTCGATTAAGAAGTTCTTTGCTTGAGTCAAGTTTAATACAGAGTTCCCTAGTAGAAGACAAATCTGCAAGAGCGGACACTTTTTCAAACTGAACCTTCTGAAGCTCCTCTTCCATTTTTACAACAGACTTATGTAAGGTAGAAATCTGGGACTTGTAAGACCTTTCTGCATTTAAGTGCTGTAAGAATAAAATTATATATATATATGTATGTATACATACATATTAAACTGGAAGAAAACTACAACATAGAAAAACAAAGTGGGGCAAATCTAAGAATAGTGCATTTAGCTTGTATGAAGTTTTAGATAATATAGGTGGTAACAATATGTACAAAACACTCTAATATAAATTCAGGTTTTTATTTTTTTTTTTACATAATTCACGAGCAGGGTGGTCAACTGGTCATTCTTTTTAACGTACTTAGGAAAAAGAAACTTTTCCCACTGAAAAGTCTCCAGCCCCAAAGTTAGTTGAGATATATCATTTGACCAACTATATTAGCCAGTTTCAATTATTTTATACTACAAATGCTATTGTTGTTGTTAAAAACAAAAATGCTAGCCACTGTCTTACTCACAACACCTGTTTTTGAATTCTTGACTGGCATGTTGATTTCAATCATGATGTCATAAAATGAAAACTGATAACTCTTTAATACCTCTGAGGGAAAAAGACTAAGGGCAAGTATAAATGAAGTATATATCCACATTATAGGAAATAAGAGCATGTTTTTAAAACTATGAGATTCAAGTTACATAAATGCTTTCGAATGTTCAAGATAATTCCACCCCCACCCTTTTCTTTTAGAAAAATGTCTTATGTAAGTGCACTGCCACCTACAGAGAAGTATTTGTTTGCGATAATGTGAAGACAAGGAGAACTGAGAGGCAAATACATTTATGTGTTTTTACAAGTGATTTCACAAGCGTAAAGCACTATAATTTGCTCCCACTATAAGTTATTTGGCCATAATTCACTCCTACTTTTTCTCTATCTCTTCCCTTCCTTCCTCACTCGCTCTTTCTTATTCTTCAAGCCAACTTTTTATCCATCCTTCCATCCACCCACCCATTCATCACATATTTATTGAATATACACTCCGTTCCAGTCACTGTACATATTCAATGGTAAGTGGTATCTGCTCTAATGAAACATCCAGACTACTAGAGGAGTCATATATTAATAATGATACAAATAACTATATAAATACATGAAAAGAAAATATAATTAATACCCTAAGAGAAAAAACAAAATAGAATCATATAACATGCTCAGTTAAAACCAAAAAAGGCAGAAGAGCAGCTGAAGACTAAACAAACAAATGAACAGTGCAATAAGTATACTTATAAATATGGGAAATATTAATCCAACTATAATTACTTTAACTATGACTAATCTATATACCCCAATTAAGACAAATGGTCAGAGTGGATAAGAAAACAAGATCTTATTTATCTACAATAAATTAATATTAATATTTAAATGTTAATGCTAATAAAAGGAAAGTTAGGATAGCTACATTAATTTCAGACAAAGCAAATTTCAGAGAAAGGAAAATTATCAGTAATAAAGAGAGGGTATGACATAATGATTGCAGAAAGTTAATTTTCAAAGAAGACATAACAAACCTTAATGTGTATGTCCCTAACAACATGCCAACATATGTGAGGCAAAAAAATTGATAGGATGGCAAGGAGAGATACTATTCTAGATTACTATTATAGATTATTATTGGAGAATGCAACACCCATGTATCAGTAATTGACAGACCAAGCAGGCAGAAAGTCAGCAATGATACAATTCAGTTGAATACCATTATCAATCAATTGGTTCTAAATATTTATAGAGTACTTTATCCAAAAACAGCAGAATACACATTATTTTCTTTTTTAGTTTTTTAATTATACTTTAAGTTCTAGGGTACATATGTAAAATGTGCAGGTTTGTTACATATGCATACATGTGCCATTTTGGTGTGCTGCACCCATTAACTCGTCATTTACATTAGGTATATCTCTTAATGCTATTCCTCCCCACTTCCCCTGCCATGACAAGCTCTGGTGTGTGATGTTCCCCTTCCTGTGTCCAGGTGTTCTCATTGTTCAGTTCCCACCTATGAGTGAGAACATGCGGTGTTTGGTTTTCTG